CCGATGGCTGCAGCGGGGCTGGCGCAGGTAGGACGCGGGGCGGGGACTCCCCGGCCGGGCACTGTCTGGTCCCGGCTGGGGGCCGACGGGGGGCCGCCCCAGAGCCCCGTGGGGAGCCGAGAGCGACTCCTGTCCCCGGCCAGCAGGGCCCCGAGTCCCCAGGGGAGCTGTGCGGGGTGGGGGGGAGTCTCCCTGGGTCACAGCTGCTGGGCCGGGGGGTCCCTGGGAGTCGCTCCCCTAGAAACCGCGTCCCCTGCTGAGACTCCGGGCTGGGGGCTGGAGCGGAAGGTGCTGAGTGTGTAACGCTTGTGCCAGCAGCTCCAGGTGGCGTTCGAGGACGTTGCTCTGTATTTCACCCGGGAGGAGTGGGAGCTCTTATCCCAGCCAGAGAAGCAGCTGTACCGGGACTAGATGCTGCGGAATTACCGGGGCATCGTTTCCCTGGGTAAGGACTAATTTCCCTTCTTTTATTCGCAGCTGTGAAATGTCTGGGTTCCTTCAAGGCCTCTGCTGCCATGTGCCACCCAGCAGCCAAATTGTGATTTTGCACCCCCTAATGCTTTATGGGACTATGCTTGTGAATGTATATATGATATAACTGGAATATGTTTTATGCTACATATGCCATGTAACATCTCTGTAGAGGTTATGATTTTCTGAATATACTCATCCTATTTGTATGCATGTGTCGTTTGTACTTGAAGTTATGAATATTGGCTGTGTACTTGCTTGATTTTAAGTAACCTTAGTAAGGCATTTGGTCAGCTTCTTGAGAAAGGAATGTGCAAGTTAAGTGCCCAGTCAAGAAACACTTAACGGGCAATGGATCTTGGAAGGCTCCAATCCACATAAGAAGTCTACTTGAGGACGTTCAGGGTAGCATGTGAACCATGGCTGCTACCTGTAAGTTCTGAGTCATGCATGGACATGTGACTTGCCCATGTGACTCTAAAACTCCATCTTGGAGCTTGGAGCCCACTTCTCAGAACCCAATAAGTACACAGGGGGAGGGATGGGTGTCCACCAAAGAGAGAGTTTATTTAAACCCCTGGGAGACCCCTCTATTTTGTCTTCAGATGGCTCTGCACCCCCAAAGGATACCTGAAAGAAACTGGAACAAAGGACAGTAACCACAGGGTGATTGCTGGACCCAGACTAGAAGGAGGCTAGTCTGTAAAGAGGCTTATTGGAACATCTTTGAGGGTGAGATTTTATCTGTATTCAGCTTCTTACTGTATTAGGTTTAGACTTGCATGTTTTATTTTATTTTGCTTGGGAATTCAGTTTGTTCTGTCTGCTGTTAATTGGAACCACTTAAATCCCACTTTTTTTATTTAATAAAATCACTTTCTACTTATTAATTAACACAGTGTATGTATTAATACCTGGGGTGGCAAACTGCTGTGCATATCTCTCCATCAGTGTTATAGAGGGCAGACAATTTTTGAGTTTACCCTTTATAAGTTTTATACAGGGTAAAACAGATTTATTTGGGGTTTGGACCCCACTGGGAGCTGGGCATCTGAGTGTTCGAGACAGGAACACTTCTTAAGCTGCTTTCAGTTAAGCCTGCAGCTGTTGGGGGATGTGGTTCAGACCTGGGTCTGGGTTTGCAGCTGGCTAGCGTGTCTGGCTCAGACCAGGCAGGGCACTGAAGTCCCAAGTTCCAGGGAAAACAGACTTAGAAGTAGTCTCAGCACATCAGTTGGCAGCCCCAAGGGGGTTTCTGTGATCCAACCCGTCACACAAATGGTAGCAAATGCCAGACCCTTTCAGGCCAGCTTCCTGTTAAAGGAAAACTCAGGGCTACAAAGCCTGGGGCTAATCTCTGTGTAACTTGTTTATTATGTACCTCAGTCCTGGCACAGCGGTGGTAGCAAACAGCACATGAGCAACAACCTCTTCCAGGAATCCCAGTCCAGCCACGGAGGGCAGCAATTCTGCCTTAAGAACTGACTCTAGTTAGACAAATAAGTTAGGGAGAAAACTCTCCTGCTGCTTGTAACAGCTCCCTATCCCCTCCAAAAGACCCACTTAATCAGATGCATGAAGTGGAAACTTAAGTGGGCAGATATATATACACATGCAAAGATGGGTGTGTTACTATGTTTGTGCCTATATAAATTTGTTAATCTTTAAGGTGCCACAGGACTCCTTGTTGTTTCTTCTAAGAAAGATCTCTTGCACTCTCGTCTGAAGCAGCGACCGAAAGCAGTGTCCCGTCGTGCTAGGTGCTGCGCAGCCACACACTGACCAAGATCAGGGCCCTGTTGTGCTGGGCTGCACCAATGTATAACTTAGTCGCTGCCCCCAACACTTCAGTAATAAAACTGATTCTTTCCCCCCCCCAAACAGGCTATTCAGGTTCCACACCAGACTTAATCCACCGGATCGAGGTAGGGGAAGCTGAGCTCTGGATCCGGGATGCCGAGGACTCCAGGGAAAGCTCCGGGCCTGAGAGCTCCTCCCCAGGTGAGTCCCTTCTGGTTTACATACCTGCTAGGAGAGGGCTTCTTAACGTAGAAGGCAAAGGCAGAGCGAGCTCCACTGGCTGGGACCAGAAGAGAGACCAATTGAGGCTGGGAATTAGGGGCCAGTGTTTATCTAGGAGGTGAATGAACCATTGGGAGCGCTCCCCTCATGATGCAATGGATTCTCCCTTACTTGGAGTCTGTCAATGGAGATGGGACATGTGCCTCACAAAGCCCAGCTCTAACTCAGCCAGGAGTTACTGGAGAAGATAGTCTGGTTGGAATCCCAGCTGGATAGGCACAACGAGGACTAGATAGGATAGGACTGGAAGGGACCTCAGTAGGTAGTCAAGTCCAGTTCCTGGCACTGCAGCCAGGGCTGACTCTAGCTTTTTTGCTGCCCCAAGCAGCAAAAAAAAAGTGCCGCCCCGACGCCCCCGCCGAGCGCCGGAGCCTCGCCCCCCTGCGCCAAGCGCCGCCGGAACCCCCCCCCG